AATTTTGGTTTTTCTGAATTTTCACCAGCATATTTTTGTGAAAATATGTGAAATAAATATTTTTATAACATATCGGTCTATTTCGTTAGTATTTTTTCCTACTGGTGGACTCTCTTTACGCATGGAACAGATAATCCACGTAAATCGAAGGACAAGTGGATACATCATTCTTGTTTTATGAAAGTTAAACTATCTCCACCCCTTCCTACAAACACTAAATCAGGAATCTATCTTGATCTTTATTGAATGCTTTTAGGAAGCAACGAGATGATCATATGGATGCTGGAGGCAGAGCCAGTGTAACATTTAAGAGTCATAGCTAATTGCCTGGGTTCAAATCCTGGCTCCACCATGTTTCCACTCTGTGATTTTCAAGTTATTCAATGTCTATGGCTTAGTTTTCTTGTTTATAAAATCAGGATGTTACCTAACTCATAGTCTGGCTCAACTGACTTAATATATATAAAGCACCTAGGAGAGTAGTCTAGAACACAACAGGTTCTCAAGAAAGATGAACTATTATTATTGTTCTTTTCTGATGTATTTATTTGGTGTATACATTAGCATGTTTTTGGTAATTATTCTTATTATACAGGTACGAATCCTACTTGGCCATGGTGAGATATTCTTTTAATGTACTGCTAAATACCATTTGCTAATATTTTAAAATTTCACATCACTATTGATAACACATAGTTTTCAATTTAGTACTATCATCATGTCAGGTTCAGGTGTCAATGTTCCACTGGCTTTGTATAAAGAATCTTGTCATTTTTTCTTAATATTGTGATAAGGCTGCATAGTGACAGATGATTACTAGACTTAGTAAGGTGATCACATTGTAAGGTATATAAACATTGAATATTATACACCTGAAATTAATAGAGTATTAATAGTATTATATACTTAAATAAAAACAAAACAAATTCACCTGTAACACCATCTAGGCCTGGTGTTTTGGGGGATGGTAACTTGATAACTTTCTCAACTTCTTCCATTGTTAATGGTCTGTTATGTTCTCATTTCTGGAGTCAATTTTTATAACTGGATTACCTTTAAAAAAAATTTGTTTTATATAGCCTTATAAAGAATTTGCTATTTTTAAAAAATACTTCTAATCTTGTGCACTTGTATTCTTTTTTTCTTGAGCAGGGTAACCAGTTTATCTAATTTACATCTTCTCATCCTAGCAAAGAACCAGTTCTTAAATTTACCAATTTTACTATTTTCCAGCTTTTAAATGTTTATTATCTTATTTCTCCTAGTTTGTCTAGGTTTATTTTATTCTAATTTCTTGAGTTAGATGCTTTATTTATTGTTTCATAATTTGAGTGTTTAAGGCTACGTATTTTCCTTTCAGAACTTTTATTACTACTTTTTAAGATATTCTGTAGAGAATTTTGGTCTAAGTGATGTTTGCCATACCATCTATTTCTTTGCCACAGCGGCTTTGATTTGAGATTATGTATATGCATCCTTTTCCAGAGTCCAAGCCTGTTTTGGCTTTGTGAATCATATCATATCCTTTATTTATGCTCAAAAGAAGAGTATCTTTCTCATTGCCAGTAAGAAAGATCCTACAGGGATGGAACCTGATTATTTGTCAACTGTTCTTTAGTCTTAAAGGATTCAGTGACGAATACTCCCTTATCAATGGGAGAACAGAGCAGCGGCAAGAAGCCACGTTCACCAAATCCACTGTTAAGTTTTTTGTAAACAGTGGCTCACTGGTCACTTATGCATATGAGAAGAAAGTACCCAGGCTCCATGACATTCTCGCCACAGAAAGAAAAATAAAATATCCAATTCTAAAAGCAGCTTTCTAATGGATCATGCTAAATTACAGGCTGAGGGGAAAGAAACAGAACTTAAAATGGATAAAGTAAATAATGTTAAAATTGTTCCTGTTTTGTCTTGAAATTCTATTCGGATAAATAGGATTTTCTAATAAAGACATGAGAAGTTGTAACTTTGCTTGGTCTATTGATCACGTTGTTTTGATTTGCTTTTGTGGAAAAGCATTTTTGCTAAAAGCTGTACAGACTTCCTCCTTCATATCCAGCAGAACTTAAGTATTTTACATAGCATTGGGCCATGGAGCAATGGAAGACTCAGTTTTTAAAACTTAACTGTTGTTGACTTTATTGTGCTAATTCTTGTTTCATCAGCTGTTTCTCTTAATTCAGGATACTTACGTGTATGACAGCTTTCCTTCACACACCATTTTTATGGATGTGCATATATATGACTTAGGAAAATTGAAAAAAAATCAAAACCCACAGTTTTTTAATTTGTTTAAAACAGACCTTCCACCTGTTATATTTTGTGCTCTTAAGCAGTCAATGGCATTTTTAGTTTAAAAAAATGTTCTATAGATGCTTGAGTAGAGGCTTGCCAGATTACAGAGTTTGATAATTATTAATCACTTAGTCTTCTACATCCTTACTTCTTATTCTTTCAGCTGACAGATGAATTTAAAAACTCTTATTAGTACTACACTATTTCTATGTATTTGCTTTTTCTTCAGTTTCAGAACTGATCAATGTTATAACAAAAAATTCAGATTAATGTATGATTACACAATAACACATTGTGACAATTTATGAATATGAAAAAATTTCATCTGTACATACTGAACACAAAACAATATATTTTAAATTCTAAAGTTGCTACCCACAAGCTGTTTAACAATATATGTTCCTTGATAATACAGACCCAGTTATTTGTGCACTTGAACATTCTGTCCATGTTCACTTTTAATTCTTACTGGAATGGTAGTAGTATTATTTTCCAAAATTTTGCAAATTAAAGTTATTTCATCTAGTCTATAATGACTTAGTAATAATAGGGACTGTTATTAAACAGAATATGGTGGCTAACAAAAGTTAGCCAGTCATTTATCGACCATGGTATTGAACTATTTCGAGAAATTTTAAAAACATTATTGTACACTTAAGAGTCTCAGATTAAAAAAAAAAACAGGCCTGGACATAGGAAAAAGGAATGTGATGAAACCCTCCCAGACTTTGGATTGAAAGCTTTCCCTCTAGTTTCATCTTACATACCAGCATGGTGTGAAGAGGTTCTTAACAGAAAGGAGGATAGTACGCACAGTATTCTGGTAAAATGGAGTTTAGAATTTTGCATGCTTATCTGTACTGTGAACATGGCTAAATTTCTTTGCTGAATTAATCATTATTTGAATTCTTTGATATGGATAATTGTTCTTTGCAATTTATTGCAAAATTTATTTATCATAATTTTACACTACCTAAAACACTCAATATTAGGAAGCAAAGTTAATGAAGTTGCAAGTGTCAAACTTTTGTGGCATAAGAAAACAGTGTAAAGTCTAAATACTCACTGTAATTTAGTGCCCACATGAACAAACAAGACCCAGATGGGATCCCAGCACAAACGTCTCTGTGCAAAACTGAGGAGAAAGCGACTGTAATTCTCAAAGTATGTGAGAAGTCAGCAGGTCTGACTCAGCATTCAGAACATCAGCCTCGGTTCTAATCGTTTCGACTCTATCTTACTACTATAAACACAAAGCAACATCCATAACTTATTTTTTAATTTATTTTTAATTTGTAATTTAAAACTCCACTTCTCAGAGTTTAATCTACCAAAGGAGAGACTAGTCAGGTAAGTACACCCCTCTTAGAGGTAACGGCTTGTGATTTTTCCCTGCGATGCAGTAACGGTAACTCCGAGACGTCTAATCTGTGCTCTGGAACCATTAAGGGACCTGACCAGTCCTAGCACCTTTTAATTTTATGGAATCCTTTCAAAGCAAGGGCAGAGGAAGCTGAAACTGGCAAGGTCACTACACGTTTACTTTAAGGGCTTCGCAGCTTATAGATAAACAGAAGGTAGGAATTAAGACCAGCTGTGTACAGCTGTTACGGAGCAAAATAAAAATGATGCCAAGAGGGTAACTATAGCTGAGGTATCGACATGCTCCATCTAGCTAAGCTTAAAAGCAAATAATCGGTACAGAAATTTACAATTAATAACACAGCCTCCCCCGCCCCCAACACTCTCCCCAAATGCCTTGTACAACTGAGTTTCGCATAATGCGAAACAACATGGTGTCGCAGAATTAAGCATCGCCTGCCTGTGCGGCTGAACTTACGGCTCTCCAGGCATCCATTTCATCAATCTGTGATAAGAAGGGCAGGGGAGGCGAAGAGTTGAACAGGATCGCCCATTCCATCTCCGACGTTCAACAATCAGGGGTCCTGGGAATCCCAGGCCCCAGCGGGGCAGGGGCCCTTCCGCCGTCCCAGCGCCGCTCTCCCCCCGGGCAGGCAAAACCCGGCCCCTCCTCTGAGGTTCGAAAGCGCTCGGAGGCACCTCCCCGCCCTGGCGCGCCCGAATAATAGCACAGCTTCCTTCGCGGGAAAAGCTCGCTCCCGTAGCCAGGCACCGCCCCCGGCCCAGCGAAGCCTCGCGGTAGGCAGGGGGTGCCGCGAGCCTCAGAAGCGGAGAACCGACCCCGCACACGCAGGCGCTGCCTACCTCGGCCCCGGCGGCTGCAGGCCCCACCCGGACGGCGGATGCGTGAGTGGTGGGGCGCGCCGGGTGGGGCGCAGTGAGAGCGTGCGGTGAGGGGTGGGCCCCCAGTGACCGCGCCAGAGGGCTGGAACAGGCGGCCTCCGGAGACCCTTCTTCGTGCTTCCACACCCTCCACAGAGGCCCAGGAAAACCCCATGCTTCCCTCTAGCCAGCCTCCTGCACTCACCCATCGCCACGGGCGCCCGGCTCCACACCCGGTAGCCGCCAGCCGGCAGGTCGGCGAGCGAGCGAGTCTGCGCAGGCGCAGACCTTGACTGACCCCAGTGCTCGGGGCGTAACGTGACGCGCTCTACGTCTTCCGAACCCGATCACGTGAGGGAGACGCCGGCGCAACGCCTCTTAAAACCGTGGAGAGTCAGGTGACGCCGACCAACTCTTCTTGGTGTCAGTTTGCCGTCGCAGGGCAGAGAGAGGGTCACCCATCACACTTGTCGTAAGGCATTGGGGCGCTGCTAGCTAGAACACCGTATCCTTGGCACGGTACGGTGGCCTTGCGGTGCCACAGACAGCCAACGCTTTCTCTAATGTGCAGCCTGCGGGAGTACTAGAGGGAATTTATAGTTGAGTAACAGGCAGGTGCGCTGAAAATTTGGAAGTGCTCCGTTGTACCCCTTTCCAGCCTCAGCTACCAGCACCACAGTTTACAGAGGAACACCTGTATGTGCTTTAGGACATATGTATCACTTTTAAATCTGTTTCAACCTCAGAACTCATAGGTCTCGGACTCCACTGCACCGGTATTTTGGAGACCTAGGGCAGGTTGTAGTCCTCACACGTTCTGGGAGTGACCTTGGACAAGTCACTTGGTCACTGAGCCCCGAATCCCTGCCTTAAAGGTAACACCTGCCTTGCATGCATCTCTCAGCACTTGTAAGAATTAATGAGAATGATGATCTGACCCTAATTTGTAAACTGGAAGGTACGCAACAGATGTGAGGGTTGAAGGAAACAGAAAGGTCAGCCTGGAGAAGAGAGGTTCTTCAGGAAGCTCATCAAATACATGAAGTGTATGCATTTTACTGGTGTTAGGCCAATAGGCAACTCTACTGGAGCGAAGCATTAGTCAGGGGATGCACTATAGGGGGGTGTCTTTCTTTGAGAGCATCTTATAGATACTGATTTCAAATTTTGTTTGAGCTGGCCTGTTTAACTGCTGCTTGGGATATGGGAGACCATTCTAATTTCAGCAAACACTACTGAAGTACCTACTGTGTGCCATTGTCCATGTTTAAGTGGAATGGATATAAAAACAAAAGATTGGAATTTCAGAAGCATGAGGGGCCTTTCCCCTGAGAGAATGAGGAACAGCTTCATAGGGTAGGAGGTATTTGAACTGGGTTTTGCAGGGTGAATGAATGGAATTGGGATCATGGAGAAAGTCATAGTGCCAGAGATAGATTGTAAAGGTCAGGTGGTTGGGTCTGATAGTGCAAGTCTTGACTGCCAGATGCAGGCACTTGGCGTGTAATTCATGCGCAGAGATAGATTCTGAACTGCAAAGGATAATAAGGCTATGTAGTGGTTTGGAATGATTAATAGGTAACAGTTGTAGAAGGGCATTTATTTCAAAATTATGTTTGCCCTGTCTTGTGTGAATGCCTATTCATGTGTATTATTTGAAAAATAAATCAGGCAGGCATCCAGTGTGTTCATAAGCGTAAATAATTCATTTCAAATTAGAATAAGGAGGTTATTCTCCTGTGATAATACCTGAAAAGGAGGAAAAGGTTGAAATTAAACACACAATTAGGGCACAACAGACTCAGAAGAGTGAGGAAATTTCAGGCCAGCAGGAACACTCCTGTCTGGAGCTAAGCCAGTCTGTTTCTTTTGTGCTGCAGGCCACAACGCAGGCCTCTGTCCCTGCAGCTTTAATTCCTTGTCAGAAACCCCCAAGCCCTTAATTGGTTCTTCTTGGGCATACAGAATGTTGGAAATCAAAACCCTCTATTTTCTGATTCAGGATTCATCATAAAATTAGACTTTCATTCCTCTATCCACATCTACCCATTCTTTCATTCATTCTTTCAGTTGCGTAAACTGTTCTCCATACCTCTAGGTTCTGTATCAGCTGTTACATTACATCCTGTAACCTAGCTTTATCATCTCACTCCTCTGCCTAAAAACCTCCAGTGATTCCCTGTTTCTCCAGTAAATTCAAACTCCTAAACTTGGCTTGAAGGCTCTGTGTCCTGGCCCCTCTACCTATCAGTCCATCTCAACCCCAACCATGTTATGTGCTTTAGCCACTTGCAATCTTTCAAATGTTTTTCAAATCCTTGTTATCTTTAAGCCTTTTTCTCCATTCCACCGTGGACTCTTCACCAATCGAACTGTTACCAATCCAGGCAAAACTAGTTCTTGCCTTTGCCTTTCTGTAGCACAAAGTTTAGGGGCAGTTCTAACATTTCACCTTACGTTATAGTCATTCATGAAAGTGTTGCCCTTCCCACTGCCAGTTCACCAGGGCAGAGCTTTCTAACTTGTTTCTGGCCCTCCAGCTCAGTGCTTGGCAGAAAGGGTGCTTGCCCAAATTACTGGTGGAGAGGGTCTGGGTTCTTGGGAAAAGGGTCAGGGGAATGTTGCTGATGGCTTATGTTTAAGCATCCTCCACTCCCCCCACCCAAATGCTTTCTAGAGGGTTGTGTAGTGTCCTCAGGCTCCATGGGTCTGTGTGTCCACTGAAACAGCTTTACGAAAGCTGTCATTGGAGTCTTGCTACTGCGAGTGGCTCTGCCCAGATAAGGTCACCTGTGGTCATTCCCTAGCAAAGGGTCAATAACCTACCTTTCTCTTCAACTCACATTTCCCAGGCCCCTGCAATCCTCTGGGCCTATCTCTGCCACTCCCTTACACATCCTCAGTCTCCAGCCATGACGCCAGCACTGCTGATTCCCTTCCTTGAACTTACTGCATTCTTTTACATGCCCACAAACAGTACATTTTGTCCCCTGTGCCTGGAAGGCCCTGCCTGCTTCATGACAACATCTGTTCACCCTTCATCGCTCAGCATACCCAGGCTTCTTGCTGCTTTCCCTGACCCTGACCTTACTACCTGAGCTACAGAGCTCCCCCATTGTGCTGTCAGAACCCCCCCCCCCCCCAGTGTCTGTGAACTCCAGGATGTGCTTTCTTTCTCTTTTGCTGATTTTCAAACCCATGATCTGCTTGTATAACACACATAACTGGGTCAAAGTTTTATTCAAACCTGTGAGATGGTCTCTTATATTTCATTTATTAATTTATTTTCATGCTGGTGGGGACTCACTAAATTAGTCTCAATTCTGTTTTACATCATAATTATATCCCCACCTTTAAAAACCAAAAAACAAAAAACAAAAAAACAACAAACCAAAACAAAAAAAACTCTGAGAGATTCTGACTTAATTAGTATGCTGTGGGACCTGGACCTTAGTTATGTTTTAAAAGCTCCTCAGCTGTGCTAAGTTTGCCAACAGCACTAAATCCTTGCTACCCCAATCTGCCTAAAGATAAGAATCACCTGAACTTGTCTAAACAACCTGTGATCCTGGACCTGCAGCATTGATATCCCTTGGGAACTTACTAGATATGATTCCTCCTGGCCCACCCGAGACCTGATGAACTAGGATTTGTATTTAATGAGATTGCCAGGTGATTTGTATGCACTTTACAGATTGAAAAACTAGATTCTAGGTCCTGGAAGTTTGGTTAAAAAAAAAAAAAACGATCTCCAATCCCAAATCAGACTTGCTACGAAATCAGGATTTCCAGGGGAGAGGCCAGCTGGCCTGTCTCTATTTAACACAAGCCCCAGGCAATTCTTCTTAGGCGATTTTGGGAACTGACAGCTCTAAATTGATATCCTGACCCATAATAGTGAACTAAAGTTTGAAACACAGTTGAGGAAGGGCTCAGGAATGTGTGAGTGAGTAAGCCTGCTGCCCAGAGGGAAAATGGGTCTAGTCCTGAGGGGAAACCATCTACGCTTGACACAGGCACATACCAAGTGCTATGAGTGTCCATAGGAGAGCAAAAAATGCACTAGCTGCAATCTGGGAAGGCAAGCTGGAAGAGGTGACCCACAAGGCATGACTAGGATTTAAACAAGGTGAGCTCCAGTAAAAGCTTGGGATGGGAAGGAGTGTGTAAGGAAGAAGATATTAGGCTTCTCATTCTCCCTGACCTTGTTCCTGTCCCCTAACTTTGCCTTTGTCCCAGGCACACCTAGGACAGAGTGTGTGCCTCTAGTAGTTCTCAGAGCTCTGAACAGTTGCTGACCTCTGGATGGGATCTAAGTGACACATGTGAAATACAAACACATTTTTATCTAGCAAGGGCCAAGTCAATAACATTAAACATTGCACAGTACTCTGGGGTTTCCGAGCAATTATATGGTTGTTATTCCGTCTGATTTTCACATAATTTGTGTACTCAGAGCATTCCCGTCACCTGCTCGAGTTTAGTACCTACTGAGAGGTTAGGCTGAGACCTCACCACCCCCACCATTTTTTGAGAACAGCAGCACAGTTGAGTAGTTGGTGCCTTGAACTTCAGAAAAGGATCAGGTGCGTGGGGAGCAGGCAGACTAGGCCTTTACCTAGGACTCTAGTCACATGACACCCCTGAGGAACTTGTTACAAATACAGTTTCCTGATGCCCACCCAAGACCTACTGAATCAAAATCTGCAAGAGGAAGGGCTTAGGAATTAGTCTTTTACAAGAGGCACATGAGAACCTTATGATGCCATAGGGTGGGAAACACTGAAGTAGACACAGCCTGTTGGAAGGTCAGCATAACTGGGTTTGAACCCTAGAACTACTATTTCCTGATTGTGTGCCCGGGGCAAAGCCCTCCTCCTCTTTGAGCCTCAGTATTTCTATCTTCAGAATGAGAGTCCTTCCTCGTGCCCATCTACTGAGTACCTGCGGGAGGCTCCCTAACATGGCAGATGCTGCATGACTGAGGCTCATTCTCCTGGCTGGTACGGAGGGGACAATGAAGCTCAGGGACTGAGTCATCTGAAGCTCTAAATGTCAGCCTTCTCTCTTGCTCGTGGGGAAGAAAGGACCATGAAGTTCTATCTATATCCTGCTCGCTGTGGGCTGCACCCTCCTCTGGGGTGTGAGATACAGATCATAAGCTCTGAGTCCCCACCGCTAAGTCTAACTTCTGCTTTTCCTAGCAGTCACTTCACCTTCTGAGCCTTGGTTTCTCATCTGCACAACAGGACTCTCATCAAAGGAGACCAATGCTTGAGCAAGATGAAGTGCACATAATAAGCCCACTGTAAATGAGAACTTTATTATTGTTGTATCATTTAACAAATCCTTATTGAGCACCTACTCTGTGCCAGGAGCTCTGCTGGATCCCTGCTTGTGTGAAATCTACATTCTAGTGGGTGGAGATAGGCAATAAATAATTAACGTAATGCATGTTTAATATTTAAAGACACTGCATAGATATTTAAACACTAAGGACAATAAATAGGGTTAATATTGAAATAAACAACAAATGTAACTAAGTAGTAAACAAAACAGACACTTATTTAAATAACCATAGTATGTCAGTATTAATTTAAATAACAAAGATGGGATGTCAGAAGATGCTAAGTAGGGGAAAGGAGAGAATGGCTCTGGACTTTGGTCCAGAGAGGAACCGGAGTTTAAGCTCTGATCCTTACTTTGCAGATGTTCAGTAAGGCTAAGGCATTTTTAACTTATAAAGTAGACTCCACTTTTACCTCCCACAGGAAGCCTTCCTAGAACCCCAGACCCTCTTTCCTTTGAAATTCTGTGGCTGTAATGGCCCTGTCCTTCCTGTGAAAACCGACTTTGTTCTCATCCTAGCTGACATTATCTGAAGGTTGATGAAGCTAAGGCATGCTAAGGGCATTCATCCAACTCTGCAGGTAATCTTTGCAGTAACCCCCTGAGGTCACGTCTGTCATTTTACAGTGGAGGAAACAAGTATTTTGCACCTTTCCCAGGTCACACAGCTGGAAAGGATGGAGCTAGGATGTGAACCTGGGCCTCCCTGTGCTCCCTGGGATAATGGTGGAGGTTCCTCTTCTCATCTGCCTCCCTCACTCCAGGAGGGCAGGGCTCCTGTCCCTCACTGGGTCCGCTATCCCTGGCCCCAGTCCAGGATCTCACCCTCACACAGAGGGTAAGGGGCTTGCTCAAGGTTATGAGGGCTAAAAAAAATTAATACTTTTCCTTCCACCTTCTAAGTGCTGGCTGGGCAAATAAATGAACAGACAGATTAACAGGAGGAAATCAAAAATTTAATACGTGCACATGGGGAATTCACATAAGCATGAAAATTCCAAAGACAGGCAACATCGGGTATATAAGATATTTTGGACAAAGGGGAAAGAGAAGGGGCAGGCATTAGAAGTGAAAATGGGCGATTTATAGGTACTTGGGGAAGGGTGGAATATATGTGGCGGGCGAATTCTTGCCGAGCAACTCAGAAACAATGGGACATGGGCTATCTAGCTAACAGGTACCTGGCTGATGTCCTCTTATTTACCATACTTAATGCAAATGGGGCTAAGGCAGCATTCTAAGGTTTCCTTCCTGAAGCAGGTTTCTCTGAATCTCTTGGGCAGGAAAGGGTGGGGGTGAGGGCAAAAGTTCTGAGGCTTGTTTCTTAATAAACAGGTTGAAAATCAATATCCCAAAAAGCAGCTTCAAGGTAGCAAAATTTTGGTTCCCTTCAGGGTCATGCCAGGAGCTGGTAGCCAGGATGACGAACTGTTTCGGTCAGCTGGGGACCACCCCAGTTTAACACTGAGAGCCCTGAATCCTGGAAAGTCTCTTAGTCCTGAACAAACCAAGATGATTGGTTACCCCACAAGCAGAGCCCGGCAGCCTCCTGTCCTGCACCCACAACCCCTATGCCTGAACTCAGACTGCCTTTGATGAAAGGAAACTGCTTAGCTCATGCCTCATGTTTTAGGAAAAGTCAAAGTTGCTGAACATCCTGAAATGTAACCAAACTGCTTTCCTTTGGGGGCACTCTCAGACATGGCAGTGGAAGATAAATTTGCCTCTCTGGAAGACGAGAGCCTCAAAGAGGGATGTACCAAGCCTCTGACCCAGTAATGCCACTTCTATGAATTTCTCCTTAGGAAACAACCAGAAATACAGATAGTGATTTCTGAACAAGGATATGCTCTGCAGAGCCGATTATACAAAAACTTGAATAAGTTAACTAAAGTAGAATATCATGCTGCTAAGAAAAAAAAAGTCATATAGAACATTTAGTACCAAAGGAAAAGCAGATGGCACTATGTTAAGTGGAAAATGGAGGATATACAATTGTATAAACACAGAAATGAGCTCAATTTTGTTTAAAATAATGTATACAAACTAAGAGTCTTTCCATGAATAAATGGATCAAGAAAAATTTTATATACAATGAAACATTATTCAGCCATAAAAATAAGGAAATTTTGCCATTCGTGACAACACAGATGGAACTCGAGGGCATTAGGCTCAGTAAAATGTCAGGCAGAGAAAGGCAAATACTGCAAAATATCACTTATATGTAGAATTTTAAAAAGCCAAAATCAGAAGCAGAGAGTAGATTGGTAGTTGCCATGAGCTGGAGGGTAGGGGAAATGAGGAAATGTTGGTCAAAAGGTACAAACTTTGAGTTATAAGATGCATAAGTTCTGGGGATCTAATATTCAGCATGGTGACTGTAATTAACAATTGTGGGGGACAAAAAAAATCTACTTTTTCTCCCACCTTCTAAGTTTTATTAGGCTAATAAATTAAAATTAACAAAGACAAATTAAATATATGCACATGGGGAATTCACAAACATGAAAATTCCAAAGACAGGGAGGCAACAGTGGGTATAGAAGACATTTTTGCACAAAGGGGAAAGGAGGGAGGGGTATTTGAAGTGAGAATGAGTGATTTACAGGGAGTTGAGGAAGAGTGGAACATACAAAGCAGGAAAATTCTTGCTAGACAACTCAGAAACAATGGGACACAGGGACATCTAGCTAAGAGGCTTGGAGTCTTCCAGACTAACTGTAGGGTGAGAATTCTTAAGGTGATTAAGGCCCCCTTCCTAAAGCAGATACTTCTGTCTGAATCTCTTGGGCAGGAAAGGGAGGTGGGGGAGAAGCAAAGCTGCTTTCTGAGTCTTATTTCTTAATAAACATCTTAAAATCCCCCAAATCAGCTTCAGGGTAGCAAAATTTTGGTTCCCTTCACAATACCATATTATACACTCGAAAGTTGCTTAGAGAATAGATCTTTTAAAACTAATTATGTGAGATGAATATGTTAACTTTGTTGTGGTAATCATTTTGCCCTATATACATGTATCAAATCACATTGTACACCTTAAACTTACACAATAGTATATGTTAATTATATTCCAATAAAGCTGAAAAAATCGTGTACGCGTAGAAAAAAGACTGGTACTTCAGAATGTTAACAGTGCCTTTCTTTAAGTTGAGGGTAATTGTTTCTTAACGTTTTCCTGAAATACAGATTGAGTTCAGTAGGTAAATATTAACTTTATCATTAGAAAATCAGTAATTAAAAAATATGGCATAAAAAATTGTTCTGCACTGAGCTGTTCTAATTTGGCCTGGTCTTCTTTCTCAGTTGGCATAAATTAGGGGGCATTAGGGTAGAAAGCAGTTGAGAGAGCACTGGACTGGGAGCCAGAGGGAGCCTCCCAGCTCTTTCTTATATCGGTTCCACTTCCTGAGGTGCCCTTGCTCTGCATGTGATGCCTGACTCAAATGTCATTTCTTCTGTCCCTTTCTCTGATATCTATACCTCTGCTCAGCACCCATCATCCACCACTCTGCATAGCCTGCCCTTTATCTGTTTACATGCCTGCCTTTTCCCTCTCCTGGCCTCAGGCGACTTGGAGCTGCCTTCCCCTCCTCCTGGGACTGAATGCAATGCTGAAGAGAACCACATGAGGGCGCCAGAACCACATGGTGATGTCCTGCTGCCTGGTGGGACCACAGGTTCCTTCAGATTGTCCCCCCCAAACAGAGATGACATCCGTTGCTGCTGCCCTGGGATGCTCCTACTCAGGAGGGAGCCAATGAGAAAGAATTGGCTCCAAAACTCTGTCAGAGAACAGCCACCCCAACGCTGGTCTTTCTAGAGCTGTGTTGGCCAAGGTGACCCTCTGAGCTAGTCACCCTCAAACACCTAGGCATGTGGAGAGGAACTTGCCGTGTGACCTTGCACCAGCCCCTGTCCCTCTCTGAGCCTCAGTTTCTGGTGTTGCAGGGTCTCTGTGCAGAGATGCAGTGAAGCAGGCATCTGGCCGCCCTCCACTTCCCGTTGACTCTAGTTGAGGAAGATGTTTCCTGTGCTCAGCTTCCTGCTCCATGTCACTAGTTTGTCCCAAGCCCCACTTCATGCTCAGTGTTTATTAAATTGAACTGAAACAGAAGTAAAGAACTCCCCAGAACATAAAATAGGAGTTTAGAGGTGACCACCATAGACACTTTCTCCTTCCCCTTCAGGAAAGTTTTGGTCACAGAGCATTGGCACTGCCCTCAGTCCCTGGTCCTGGTTGGGCCCAGGAACATGCCAGGAATTTGACCTCCCTTGAACACAGGCACCTCAAGGCAAGCCGCGCGTGCACGTGTGTGTGTGTGTGTGTGTGTGTGTGTGTGTGTGTGTGTTGCACTGGGGACATGCTGAGGAGCTTAGGAGTTGGAGGTGTGGGTTCTGGGTCACTGGAATATGAGAAAGGAGGGAGAAGAGACCAAAGCCTGAATCTTAGGGACAGTGAGGGAGAAAGGGGCCTGCCTGCCTGTGACATTGGGTCACATCCTTGGGAAGGAGGGATAGGAGAGATAGTTCCTCCAGGGAGAGGTGGGGGTAGGATAGTGTCACTCCAGAGTAGGCTTCCTGGCTTGTAGGGGACCCAGTGCATCTTCCTGTGCTCAACCGTGTGAGGGAGGGTCTTGGGCTGCAGACCCCCCAGGCCTCCCAATCATGCCATGTCCACTTCTCCTTAAGGATTCGCCCTCCAGAGAATGGGCCAGCATCTCCCAAAGCCTTCAGGAAGACCATGAATTGCCTCCTGGCTTGAGGCCCAACTTTTCCTGACAGCTGCAAACAGATTAAATCCCCCCTCATTCTGGGCTCCCACAGCAACCTGCCCCGCCCCCCATGTCACCAGTAGTTGCCCATTTGTTTTTCACCCACGCTGGAAACTTCCTGAGAGTAGGTGCTGGGTCCCATTCTCCTCTGTATCCACCAGACCAGTGGACACTCAACAAATATTTGCTTTACAGATCAATTCGTTTTCATTTAATGAGCTCATTAGGGTTCTGTCTTTCTCTTAATTAGGAAGCAGGAAGGTTCCTTTTTTCCTGTAACAATCCACCTTTGGGGGATGATGGCAGAACCTCAGCATCTGCAAGCAGAAGGCAATCAAACGAGATTCCTGGTTGCAGTTTACAGAAATAAAACCTGCGTGTTCAACAAGGTGCATTTAAACAAAACACTTGTATATTAAAAGCTTTACATTAAATATACATCAATATTCAATTTACCACACAGAATTAGAACTTTACAGGACACTTTTTCAGCCATAGGTGGCTGGCACAAAGCTCCTGGCATTGACATAACATCTCTGAGAGGGGATAGAGGCCAAGGGCTGCCACTGTGCCAGAGAGTGCCTGAGTGGGGTCTTTGTGGGGTTCTGGAAGATGCTCCTACACTTAAGACTCTGGGCCATGCTAGCTCCCTCTGGACAACTTGCCCCATTCGGTCTTTGCTGGTAAGCATTTCTGGAAAGGTGAAGAGACAGACGAGGCAGTTTACTGGATACAGCCTAATTCTAAATGCCAGCTTGCCCCGCCTCCCTGGTTTCTGCATGCACTGCCTCTAGGGGAGCAAATGGTAAGCCTGGCCTTCTGTTTCTGCTAGGCCTTTGGTCAAGTGACAGCAACCACTTCTGAGGGAGTGCCTTGAAGAGCCAGCCAGAGCTTGGTGTTCAAAATCTTAAAATGAGATTCTCTGGGTCCTGGGACTGTAGTAGAAGCAGAGTCCACCAAGGGCTCCACCTATTGATGGGAGGCCATTGACTCGCTCTGGCCACCAAGGGGTACCAGCCTAGAGATGCCCTGGGAGGAGTCGCACCGCTCAGCTCTGACTGGCCTAGCCTTCCCGAAGAAGAGCCTTTTCACCACTTTCCCATGAAGGCCTTCCCTGTGAGCCTCTCTCCAGAAGGTGTTAGCATTCGTGATTATTCTGACGGGGACCCTCACACTGACAGGCAGGTGGGCCCTCTCTCCCCACAAAGCCTCCTTTCTTTCTGTGGATGCCATCTTTTTGGTGTGGGGGGGCGGGGGGGCAGTGCTGCCCAAAAGGGCCCTGACTCTTCAGCACTCAAGGACTGAGCCATTGAAGTAGTGGGTCATTGTGATCAATAATGAAGCCAGCAAAGGAGGGAAAGAAAAGGAAAAAAAGAAAGTCCTGTGGCTCTGAGCAATGAGGCCTGTTAGTGGCTGGAGGTTGTATTCTGAGACAAAGTGCTGAGGGCGAGATATTGTGTGGCAGGGAGATTTTTTTTTTTTCCCCTCAAAGAAATCCAGCTTAAACATCCCCCCACCCCATTAATTGGTAGCAGATGAAAAAAAAAATCAAAACAAAAACCAAACCAACACCACTAACCTGAATATGAGTGTTTTTGAAAGGGAAAAGCTGTTTCAATTGTTAGATGTCCAAGAAAACATGAATACACGCCGACAGAGGAAACGGCCACAATTAGAGGAAGAAGAGGGAGAGGTTCATAAAATTAAGGAAAAAAATTCCTTTTAGCAGCTCTCATCCTGTAAGCTGGCTCCTCTGCCGGCCTTGGTCCTTCAGGGGAACTGGTGGTTGGGCCTCCCGGGGAACCTGGAGGAAGTGGAAGCAGGAGAAGGAAGGGCCCAGGAATCCCTTAGAAGAGCAAAGGCAAGGTCCGAAGGCAAAGTAGCCTCACTTTTCCTCAGACCACAGGCACCACAGAGCCTTTTCTGAAGAGAAATCTGCTCTGGAAGATTATCTCCTGGGAAGTCATGAGTCTCCTGTACTGCTGGAGCCTGCAGCCTCAGGAAGTGCCCCATAAAAATTGGGCTTCCTGGTGGAAGAGGAGCTAATGCGAGGTCTCACCCAGGCCCGGGTCCAGGAGCTACCTCCGGTCTCCCCAACCTCTAACTAGATCCTTGCGGATCCAGTCTTTTTTGGCACTTCTGTTTGGTCAAGTGCCAAGTCCTTACTCATTTTCTCATTCACAAAAAAAAAGAAAAGAAAGAAAAAGAAAAAAAGGAACACTTGAATCACTCTAGGTAGTCTTTTGCTTCAACAGATGTTTCAGAAAATGCAAAACAGGCAAAAGGTCAAGATTGAGTCTTGAGACTAGACCCAGGGCACGGCCAATGTGGTAATTACAAGGTAGATTGGTCAGTGGGAGCCACAGGTGGGAGAGGCTGGGAGCCACCTGGACTGATGGATGAGGGCCTGGGAGGATGACTCAAGAGGTGGACCAAACAGAAAGACCGTTTGCCAAGGACACAGCTTTGGCCACAAACCTCTAAAATTCATGGCAGCCACTTAAAGGAACACGGCTTTTAGTCCTGCTCTGCCTCGGCTTGACAGGCAAGTCCTTGTCCTTTGCTGAGCCTGTCTCCTTATCTGAACAGTGAGCCTGAAACATCTCTGAATCTCTGGCAGTGTTGAACGTCTAGACCTTGCTGGTGACGTTCAAACTTGGCCCCTTGTGCCGGGGACAGCGGTCACCAAACTTCCATTTCATTCAGATCAGCTAGGTAGGCAGGCTGATGTGTGCTTGGTGAAGGCGCTGAAATTTGAAACTCATATCATAGCTGGATCCCTTGCACCTCCTTCAGTAGATGGAAGTCATACCTTTCATGCAGCTTGTGGGATTCCTTTATTTCTTTCATCCACGTTTAACCATAGAGTGGTAGTGGGTGGGTGGGAAAGGAAGGAGAACTGAATAATGGCAACCTCACAGCCTTGCGAGGGTCTTGAATGCATG